TGAGGCAATAAAAATGATTAATATATCTGCATCAAATGGATAGAGCTCAGAGCCCTGGTGGACAAGGAGAAAAGCAGCCACAGAAGCATTATTACATATATACAAGGCTTACAAAGAGGCTGGCCAAACATCTATCACAGATCCAGAGTGATCAAGTAAAGTCAGGGATTGGCTAGCACACAATCAAAATAGCAGTCCATTACTCTGACAGGATAGAAAACAATCAGAGTTGAGGGCATGGGAATCCCTTATACTTCTTAACCGATTGCGGATTCCAGGGATTCCTTTGATCATTATTAATATTTTTAGTTGGAAATATGCATTGCAATCATGTATAACTTCCAGTTTTTAAAGGGTGATTTGAAGGGGTCGGCAAGGCAGCTCAGTCAGTAACGTGCTTGTTACACACGCACAGGAACTGAGTTTTATCCACTACACCAATGCAAAAAGCCTGGGAAGAGATGGGAGGATCCTTGGGCTGGCTAGTGGCCTAATCAAAAAAGCCTGTATCCCAGTGAAAGACCTTGTCTCGAAAAACAAGATGGATGGCTCCTGAGATTGATCAACATCTGAGGTTGATCTCAGGCCATGCATACGCATACATGTGTGCACATACCTTCATGCTCCTGCACATGTGTGCATACACACACACACACACACACACACACACACACGGTAACTTTAAAAGAAATGTAGTGGCCACTCCAGCAGAGACCTGAGGCTTTGCTTCTGCAGAAGCACAGTTCCCAACCTTCCAGGCCTGTAGCTGGTGCACACCTACCCTGCAGATGCTAGAAACAAGACCCTGGGCCCTGGCTTCCAAGCCCAGTTATAGGTAACATGAGCCAAGTGGCCCTGTTTCTTCATTTGAAATGAGCAACAGGCAAAATGTGTGTCATGTGGTAGAGATTCCATGAATATTTACCAGATGAATCAGCAAATGATGTACACATGCATGTGTGAGCGCACGCACGCACACGCGTGCACGCACGGGTGCGCACACACATACACACACACACACCAACGCTTGAAGCATCAAGACAGAAAGTCCTCTGCTCTGTTCCACCCCAACTTTTGGTATTTTAGTGTTGTGGATTTTCTATCCCAAATGTCAGTTTCCCTTCCATTTTCCCTTTTGCTGTCACAACAAGCACACGCGTGTTTTCCATGGAATTGTACCAAATGGCACCTCTCATATTTTGTAAACCAAATACATGCAAACTCCTCTCTCATCCAGTATTAGTCACACTTCTATCATCATAGTGAAGTACCTGGGGCAATCCCCATGTAAAAGAAAGGTTTGTTTTGACTCGTCATCCTGGACAGTTAAGCTCAAGATCAGATGGCCTCAGTGCTTTGAGTCTCTGGAAGTACAGCGGTCATGGTAGGAGTACAGGATAGGAAACACCACTCACGTCACAGTGAGGAAACAGAATCTCCCTCAGGGACATGCCCCATGGCCTCAGGTCTTCCCTCTAGGACCTCCCAACATCACCCCTCCGGGACCAAGTCTTTAACATACGGACATTCAGGGGATGCTCGACATCCAAACTGTAGCGGGCCTTCCTGTCAAATTCTCTCAGGACTTTCCTGCTCTGATCTCACACTTGATGAAAACGGCCAATCCTCGGGTCCTACCAGGGGAAGACATTCACGAGGTTACAGGGAGACGGAGAGGGAATGGGGAAGAATCAATCCTCACCCCCCAAAGGAAGGGTCTTATGGGGCGAGCACTAAAGGAGGAGCTGCCCCCTCAGGCACGCTGGGTCCATTCTAAGCCACACTTCCAGCTTGGCAATGACTCTGACTGGCTGGGCACCAGAAAAGAAAGCTAAAACCTAGCAAGAAATGGGATGGTGCCTTGCTAAGTGCATGGGCCTTAACACCAAACAGCATCCCCCGAGCCTTCTGTGGTAAAATGGAACATAAATGAAATAATATACATAAAGATTCTTACAGAACAGCGCTGAAAAGTCACTATATCCCGGATCACTTCCGTTTGCACACAGTTTGCTTTTTAATTGGGCTCATCTGAAATGACATCACCGCAGGTGCACTGGCATCATGGATCCACCATGGCACATGGACATCCCACTGCCCGAGATGCTGTGGGATTCACCACATGCCACTCTGAGGGCAGAGTGCACTGTGAGTGCCATCTGCCCTAGCTCCCCTAGTGGGATTCCTGTGGGCAAACAGGCTGGGGTGGTCACGAGGGGAATAGTCAGGCCAAGCAGCAAGAGTCAGGGTACAGAAATTTTTACAGGCACAAACTAGCCTCAAAGGTTGTTGAATAAAGAGGCCGATGGCCATGGCAAGCAAAAGCAGCAGGGTTCTGTACAGGCTACAATAAAAGAGCTGTGACCTCCAGAGCAACTGGCGCCAAATGGGTCAGGACCCTGGACAGCGCCATCTGCTGGGGCTGGGCGTGGACTTTCATCAGCTCACTTCCAGGCCCCACCACACCCAGCAAACATAGCAAGTGGCTTCCAGTCCCTCCCTATACCATAGAAGCCTCCCAGCACCCTAAACATGGTTCTGCGTTACTGAGCCCACATACAGCCTCTGCATCCTCAACACAGTGATTCATCTGATGGAAACTGTTATCCACTCAGCATCTTCGTGGAATTAATGATAAAGGGCAGACTAGCCAAGAACTAAAGCCAACTCCAGGAAAGGTGGAAGAGCATCATGTCAGAACAGACAGGCACACTTTGGGGACTGTTCCAGGTTCAGAGCTGGGGGGATGAGGAAGATGAACAAGAACTGTTTCTGCAAGATGAATCATTCTTTCTAGCTCCCTACCCCATCCTACATCAGATGTCAGACCACCAGCACCCTCGTCTTTCCTCACATCTCTCCTTTGTCTTTTTCAAAAATTATTGTACACTCTCATGTCAGATTCATCCATGAATTTGCCCTTCACATCGTCCCAGGCACAGGGCTGAACTACAGTGAGAAGAAAAGCAAACGGCCTGCTCTTCTGGGCATGACCACCTCTATGGGAGTCCAGTGGACATCAGAGACAAGTCCCCACGAGTGGCAGGCTAGGCCAAATGGACTGAGGATGGACGGGTGAGCACATGACTAAGATGCCAGCTCCGCTGAACCGGCGTGGAGGAAGACATCGTTCCTGGAACACTGGCTATGGGACCTACATGGAAGTGAGAAGTATGAGAAGACAAGACAGGGTCTGGGAAAGTGCCTCCAGGCACCACTCAGGCTTCAGGAATCCCAGAAGGCCAGACAGTGAGCGGGCTAGAGAGCTGGCCTTCGGTGCCCCCACCCCCGTCCCTGTCCCCCCACCCCCCTGCAGCTGTGGCTCCTCAAGCTGCCTCCAAAGGCCCCCAGGAGAATGGTCTATGCAGGCCAGAGACAAGAGGAATGATGGCACCCGAGAGGGGCAGAATCGAAAGGACCTGCGCATACTAGACTAGAACATGCCCCCACCCTGGTGGTGCCCACACCTCCCACAGGGCTCGGCATCAACAGGAGGACTCCAAGGTTTGGTTCCTGGGGTAAGGCTTGATTTCTCAGAGACGCCTTGGGACACCTCAGTGCTGTTCCAAGGTCTCCAGCTGCTCCCATGGGACCTGAGGCTGAGCAAATGTCAGAAGGAAAGGCCAGTTCCTGGGCATGCCAGCGAAGTCCCTGGAGCCTCGAGCCACCCCTGTCCCCACCAGCAGCACATTTTTATTTCAACACAGCAACTGTTTGCTCTTTCAGCTCTTCCTGGAAGGCTCCAGTTTATTTGTCCAAGCGCCGAAGACAGCATCCCAGACTTAGGGAAGCAAAGCATTTAGGCAAATGCAAACATATGCTGATTTCTTTCTTAGTTACATTCCCAGCAAAGGGATTACTTCACTAGGAGACAAAGCTGGACTTTAAAGGGTTGCATAGCTCCATCAGAACCTCAGCTGAGGGGGTTTCCAAGCCTCACAAGTGCCCATCAACTTTGAACAGGTAATGGGGTCATTGTGGCTATAAAGGTGTAGCATAGGGGTCCTTAAGAGACCCACTTTGGATCCTGGCTACTAATCACACAAACATGCATGTAAGATAAAACTGCAGACATGACTCCATACCCGCAGCAGCAGCCTGGACTGGACACATACACAGAGACTGGTAAGCTGGGAAGAGCCGGCAGGCTGGGCCGGGGTCAAATCCTGGTTAGGATGCTGTGCTACAGCTAAGCCCGGGGCTAAACTCGGGAAGCCTGAGCGAAGGGCACGTGAGCTCCTTCCGCATTAGTTCTCATAACGGCACGTGACTGTCAACGATCTCCAAATAAAACCTTTCTGAAGCACAAATCACGGAAACCATTTTAATCTCAGGACTCAAACTGATGTGTTTACAGAGAAGCTTTCCGCAAACAGGAAGCGGTTTCTCCGAAGGCCACTTTTGTAGTTTCCTAACAAGTAAATTATGCTGACTTCCTCAGAAGAGGTCTTCCAGGAAGCCACACACAGCCATACAGTGTCCCCAGGCCCACCAGCTAAGGAATGCCTCCTTCTGCTCTTTGCCCTGGCCCAAGACCCTGAAACAGGGCAGACCATAGTGGATGTAAATAAAAAGCCAAGTCTGGACCACCATCCAGCAGGAGGGTACCCTTCAGAGGAGAAGATGCCAAGAAGGCCCAGGCAGGCAGCCTCGACCACTGCCTGTATGCAGCTCTTCAGATCCCTGCCAGCAGTTTATTAATATTTTATTGAAAATTCTAAGATGATTCAAACTTCAGCTGTCATGATAAGGTGATGTTGCTAGGCAACTTTAGTGCCTATCTACATACAGATCTGTTTTTGCAGCTCTTCTCTGATTCACGAAGCTCAAGGTTGGGCCCTACCACTCCGAGGAAACTCAGCCCAGACCACCAACATGGATCTACACCCTGACAGCACCCCAGTGCCGGGTCCCACGGTTGAAGCCTCCGGTATTAAGGCTATCAGCCCCCGGCTGTCCCTGAAACCGAGCCTCGGCCCCACCCCCCACCCCGGACTCACCATACTCGCTGTCATAGAACATGACGAACTTCTGCCAGCGCAGTTCCGTCACCAGCCTGAGCATGACATCATTGAGACGGACAGGTGGTCTCGAAGCCAGTGTGTAGGCCTCGCCATCGGGGCTAGGGTTCAGGTGGCAGGCAGTACGTGGTGAACCCCCAGGGTTGCGCTGGACAAAGAGGTGTGGGATGTGCATGGCGTCTGTGAGGGACTGCAGGGCGTTGGCAGATGCACAGCCTGTGGATGTGACCAAGGCCAAAATTCCCTGGGTCATGAGGTCACAGGCTGGAAAGAGAGGAAAAAGACAGGGAGAAATCAGCACGGGGCACGGGCGTCGTTCCCACAGCTCCACCCAGCAGCTCGTGCCTGTGGCCCTGAGATGTCTCCCCACACAGACCAAGAGCCTGCCCCAGGCAGGCCAGCTCCCAGACAGGCCAGCAGCTCTCCTTAGCTGCTGCTGACAACCGTAAGTCACTATGAATACTGAGAACCTTGGTGAAACATCCGGCTATCCAGCTCAGGCCCATTTAACAGATAAAGAAGGAAAGAGGGTCAGAAGTGGCAGGATCATTCGCCCCGGACTAGTCAAAGGAGGGCGGTACAGCAGGGAATCCAACCCAAATCTCCCGAACTCGCTAAACAGAACTCTCAATTAGACACCGTTTCTCACCTTGGGGCCAGTAGCCAAAACGCTGGGGAGGAGCCAAGGACTCATGCTGGGGAATCTTTATGTCCTTTGTCATGGCAGAGAATACAATCTGTGCTCTGCGATTGTTGCCTGAACTGAATGAAGTGTTTGAATCTGTAAGACCTGGATGACATCATGATGTCAGGAAGACATGTACTTACCCCAGAGGACCCTGAATAGGGAAAGGAAGTGGGCAGGAGTCTCAGTCTCCAGGCCAAGTCCACTTGAGTCCTATCATAAGAATACTGGATCAAATCCCAGATGAAGTGGTTGGCTCCAGAAGCCCAGGGTTGTTCAAATGCCACTTGACAATCACAAAGGAAGATGCACCCATATTTCAGGCAGTTACCAAGGGCACAGAGGAGAAAAGAGACGGAGATTACAATAGCCCTTCCTAGGACTAACACACTCAGGAGCCTGGACTTTCGAAGACACCCAGTGACTACAAGCGGCACCACCGTTAGCCACAAGCTCACACCTTTTAGGGACATCAGAGCAGGTAGAGAGATCCTACTCCCCACACCCCAACTCCCTGAACCAGTTTGGAAGCCAGCATGTCTTATGAATGCTTTGTGTGATGGCGGGAATGTGGGAAAGCAGATGCGGTCTCAAAACACAGCCTGTGAATGGCAGCCAGCCATCTGCTGCACGCAGTAGGCTTTGAACAACGTTGACAATGCAGTTCCTTCGTGGGAGCCCTGGCGTTTATGTAATGCTTCAGACAGGGCTGAGAAGGAGGTGAAAACAAGAGAGCTCACCCCAAGTGGAAGGAAGGCTGGAAAATATGTGAGGAGGGGGTGTCCCCTTCACTGGCTGGCACCAACGGCAGCTGCGCCCAAACTATGGCTTTGCCCTACACACTGGGGAACATCATAGATGATAACTCAGGCCCCAATGCCCAGTGATTCCTCCACTTCCCATGCCAAGGGCTGGAGTTGGGTAAACCAAGGGCATGAGGTCTCTCTCAAGGATCTCATAGCCACCCCAATGTTCTGCCCCTCCATCCTGGCTTCACAGAAATGCAATTGCATTGTGCCTGTTTAAAGACATCAGTGAGGACTAGGGAGGTGGCTCAGTGTGTAAAGTCCTTGCCACACACTCATGAGGACCTTAGTTCTGGTGCCCAGCACCCACATACAAAAGACAACGCATTCCTTAGTTGCCTGTAGTTCTTTGAGCTTCCTGCTCCATCCATGTGAACATATCTATTGGTATAGTCCTTGTTCAGCTTATGTTCAGGCAGTCATGTTGGTGAGACTTGATGAGTGTAGCTTCTAACATTCCTAGGAGCCACAATCTCAAAGCAAACTCCCTGTTTCTCCGGCTCTTACAAGTGTTCCATCCCTTCTTTCAAAATGATTCCTAAACCTTAGGTGCGGGAGTTATGTAGAAGACCTGTCAGTTGGAACTGGGCTCCACAGCTCTGTGTTTTGATTGGCTGTGGTTTTCTGAAATCGTCTCTATCTGTTGCAAAACTACAGGCAACTAAGGGATGCTGAGAAAGAGTCTTCCTCCGGGAGAGCACACCAATTTGTTAGCCAATACCAAATGGTCAGCCCTGAAAACACATACATACAAATAACATTGTACAGACTTATCAGGTTGTTTGGTGTGTTTGGAAACACACACAAACACACATGTGTAACAACCACGAATGAAAAAGGAAGCCATGAGTTTGAAAGAGAGCAAGGGGGCGTGTATATGAGAGGATTTGGAAAAAGGAAAGAGAAAGTTGAAATGATGCGATCATATCATAATCTCAAAAAAATAAAAATCCAATTTTTTAAAAGCCAGCACAGTGGTGCACACCCACAATACCAGCACCAGACAGGCAGAGACAGGAGGAACCCTGTGGCCTTCTGAGCAGCCACACTAGATAAGTCAGTGAAGCTCCAGGCTCAGTGAGAGACACGTCCTCAGTGACAGAAGCCACATCTGATGTTGACCGCTTGCCTCTACATGCACTCACACACATGCGTGTGACACATACACACACACATGCCTACCTGGGGGAAGCCCTGAAGGCACACCACGCCTGCACTTCGTGTTCTTCATTCTCTCTCTACATTCTAGATTGCACCGCCCCCTCAGCTCTGGAACTCAACTTCAGGCTCATTCTTGCTTCAGGACTGAGTCAACCTTCCCAGGCTGGCCAAGGCCTTCTCCCAAGATCCCCACACAAAATCTCCCTGCCACGGCACTGCACATTGCCTCTAGAGCCACCTGACCCTCCTAGAGACCCTCAAGCTCAAGGAGGACAAGAGTGACCTCTGCCACACTCACCATTCACACACACACACACACACACACACACACACACACACACACACACACACACATCCCAAGCACACACAGAGGGCGAAGCATGGCAGTTCATAAAGATTTGTGCTAGGAGACTGTGGATCTGACGTTTTCATGCTCTGTGGTCCTCAGTCCTCTCTGGGCACCTATCCAGACCACAGGGACAGTGATAGATCCTAAGGCAGAAGACGACACTCAGTGGTCCCAGGAGAACACTGCCAACTCTCAGAAAGATGCAAATCGGTGTGTGGTTATGGAAGTGCTATGCGCTGACATCACACATGGCCTTTACAGCCATGCACCAAATACCACAGTACTATGGGGAAGTACTTGTCATAAAAAGGTACATGAAAATCACACGAAAATACATATATTATGTATTTTACAATATCCATTAAGTAAAATTCAATACACATGAAAGAAAGATCAGAAGGGAAAAAAGGCAAAATGTTCAAAGTAAAGGCAATTTGGGAGTGCTTTTCTTTTTTTTTTTTTATTTTCCTATATTTTGCCAAAATTTCATGCCATGAATAGGTACTTGACTTTTAAGAAGCAAAAAGAGTCCTCCAATAATGGATAAGCAGGAAAGCATGGAGGAAGAAGGACTACCATGTGAGAATTCCCTCTGAGCCAGACTCTGCTGAGTATTTGATACATGTGGAGCCATGTTGTTCTCATTATAGCCATTTAGGAAACAGACTTTTGCTTCTGATTCCCAGATAATAAAATGAGAAGCCACACAAGCATCGAGTGATGGGGCCAGACTAAGGTAAAGTACCAGTCCATTTCCATATGGCCAAAGACATGTTTGGAATGCTTCTGAGACACCATAGTCAAGAGAAAAAAATTAGACACAAAACTGCACGCTGATTACAGTGTGATAAAAGCATGCCTTCGAATAAGGCAAGACACACAAATGGCTAAGGCACCATGATGGTGAATGGATTGTTCTTTGATTCATTGTCTCTTCAATACTAAGACATTGCATTAAAATCTTTTCAAATAAATTGAACAGTGAAGGGCTTAATGGTCCAGGAACTCCATCTCCCGCACCCTTCCCACAAGCCATCAGTCACCCCTGGCTTAGCACCCATCTGCCCAGCTCCCTCTTAAGTCACCACCTGAGTTCTATTGTAAGCCAGCTCCCTAGTCCATGTGCACCAAGCTCTGAAGTCACAGAACTTTGAGCCTCAGTTTCCCCATTTGTACATACATGCCACTAAATACCAAGGTTTGGTTCCTGCCCTCGTGTCTATTTCATACATATGTCCAACACACCAACCACATGTGTGTCTCTCCCTGTGCACTTTGGAGCTTCTCAAGACACACACTCTATGATTTGGCAAGAAGAAAGAGAAAGGATTTCCAGGATGCAGGAGATGTAGTCGGCATCAGAATCTCAAATGAAGGCTTAAACCAATAGAAATATGTAAGCTACACAAGTAGGGGACAGCATGATTAAGACCCAGGGATTGGGCAAAATTGCTCACTAGCAGACCTTGGAATAACAGAGAGTCTACAAAGCACAAATTCCAATTTTATCCATCTGGCCAGCAGCCACGTGGCCATGGGCACATGCCCTTTCTGAGCCTCAGTGTTCTAGTCAATGGAGATGAGAGTCTCTACTTACTGTTGTGGAATATTATTATTATTATTTTAAGATGTGTTACATTTGTTTATGCTGTGGAACATTTGTTTTAATGATGCAAAGATGTGCTGCATTCTTTTATGTTACATTTGTTTAACTCTGTGAAGCTGTGTTACTTTGCCTGTCTAAAACACCTGATGGTCTAATAAAGAACTGAATGGCCAATAGTGAGGCAGGAGAATGGATAGGTGGGGCTGGCAGGCAGAGAGAATAAATAGGAGAAATCTGGGAGGAAAAGAAGATAGAGGAGCAAGAGAAAGGAGGAGGAGGATACCAGGGACTACCACCCAGCCAGCCAGCCAGCCATGGAGTAAGAGTGAAAGTAAGATATACAGAAGTAAGAAAAGGAAAAAGCCCAGAGGCAAAAGGTAGATGGGATAAAGTTAAGAAAAGCTGGCGAGAAACAAGCCAAGCTAAGGCCAGGCATTCATAAGTAAGAAAAAGCCTCCATATGTGATTTATTTGGGAGCTGGGTGGTGGGTCCCCAAAAAACAAAATAGCAAACACAACCAACAACATTTTGGCATTCCAATGTAAGACTAGAATAAAAAAATCTAACAACAACTTACACTGACCCAGAAGGCCAATCCTAAGTGCTTTCTCCACCCTGCACACAGAAAGGTGCCAAAGAGGTATCAGTTTTCTCCC